TATATATATATTATATATATATACCTGCTCTCTCATATATACATATTATATATATATATATATATATGAACGTATTTCTTTAATGCTTAAGGGTCGAACTATACTGTTATGGGCCGGGAATACTTCCCCAATTCAGAATAGTAAATCCTAATATATAGAAACCCTACATTCTGCCATATAGGGAATCTTTGGGATATTACTCATATATATATATATATGTAGTATATTCATACATATTATATAATATGGTATATAAATATAATGTGTACTATATAAATATACGTATATACACGAAAAATTAACATATACTCTGTAGGGATATAATTTATAGGGTTCGGCATTATATGGAAACATCGCATGGCTTCGGGTGCACCTGTTGACCTGCCCTGGACCAAACTTGCACCGACAGGGTTTAACTTAAGGCTTTAGATAAGTATTTCGAACTCGTCGTACAGCTTAAGGTTTCAATTATATTACTAGTAGGCTCAAATATCATATAGCTCCCTAATTAACCTGGCACCAGCTGCAGTCCTGAGATTGGGCTATATCACCTCGGTTTAAATTAAACCCTAAGCCTATACGTTTAAGTGTGTCTGGCGATCGGTATGGGACAGTACGATTCGGGGATGAACCGAGAATTAACCACAAGACACTTCGGTGCGCGCACGGCCCGGTTCCACCCGGTGGCAATCGAAAACGTGGACTCTGGACCCGAAGGAGGTCATGAGCAAACAAAGATGGGACGACAGGTCCTACTGGTTCAAGAAGTCAATACGACTATGGTGAGAGAATTGAGACAAGTCGATGATCGAGACGACTTCTCACCTATCTCTGGACACATCACTCGATCGAGCTCTTGATGAGCCAAAGCCCCTAAATCCCAAAGCCGCACAACCCCAAACCCCAAACACCTAAAACCCCAAAACACCCGGACCCAAACCCCAAGCCCCTATAAACCCCGGCCCTAATATATTATATGAACCCGAAACCCTTAAACCCCCCACACCCTACTTAAACCCCTCAACTCCAAAACCCTTAAGCCCCTAAACCCCTTAACCGAAAGCCTTGAAGTGGAATCGTCTAGGAACCGGAGATCCTTGGCCACATCATCCTGGAACTGAAACCTTAAGGCCTTAAGCCCGACTCCAAATACTTCTGATTGGGGTTATTTAAGTTAAGGTTTTAGGGATTTGAGGGTTTGGGGTTTTTGGGGGCTTAAGATCAATTTAAGGGAGTGAGGGTTTGGGGTTTTGGAGCTATTAGGGATCCGGGGTAAAAACCTTAGGGG